TGGGAGGAAGAGCCACCTCCTTCCAGAAGACCCCAACTCTTTGCCCTCTTGGAAAAGGGGTGCAAATTTCAGGAACGCAGGTTCTGGGAGAACATCAGTCAAATTCCCTATGAGCAGAAGCAGCTCTACACAGCAAGGAGGTCTCCAAACTGGGCAACTATAAGACTTGTGGACTTCAACTCCCAGAATTCCTCAGGTTAGCATGGTTGCCTGGGGAATTCTGGGATGTTTTTTTCTTTTTTTCTTTTGCCATCATTTTTCTTTTCTTTTCTTTTTAACAACCAAATGATCTTTGTGTGAACAGCGTGGTCCAGTAGTATCTGACATTTGTTTACAAAGACAACAATGTTCATCTTATTTAATCCAGTTGACGATCTTTTAACATTTGATATTCATCTTTATCATTTCTTAATTTATCCATCTTAATTATTCAAGATGACAGTGTATTATTTTTTTGTGTCAATCTCTATATTCTTAACCTCCCTCCTTTTACAACCAGTTATATATTAATAATCCTATTTGCACTGTTTACCCAATTGATAGTTGTAATCACAATTCACAAGTGTATATGAAATGATAATTTTCCATGATTTATCCCCTTTTTAATTTTTAAATATACCATTATGATTAAAAAGAATCCCCCTTTCTGATCACATTTGATACCAGTACACTAGTATTCATCATATTTACGTTTAGCAGATTATGCAGTTCTAATCATAGTTATTTTTTATTAAATTATACCCTTTCATGATCAATGTTACATTTCACAATAGGATTTTGGTGTCAATCAAATTCCATGTGTCATTCCTTTACCTTTGTGTCAATCAAATTCCATGTGTCATTCCTTTACCTTTGTGTCAATCAAATTCCATGTGTCATTCCTTTACCTACAATAACATGTTCACTTTCTTATTTATGACAATCAGTGATATATCTTAACTAGTAGTACACATTTCTATCAGATCACACTCTCCTTTTCTTTTCTCATTTTTACCCATCATTCCTCAGGGAGCATGCTTGGCTGGGGGATTCTGGGAGTTGAATTCCACAAGCCTTAAAAGTCGTGGAGTTTGGGGAAACCTGCAACAGAGGAATGAAGGACCAAAAGGTCTTTGCTGCCCTCTGCTCGGACGCTGTGGAACCCGTTGCTCAACTCGTTTCCTGTTTCTTTCCTTGCAAAGTAAATGTAAATAATGAAACAGGAAGTCGGCTTCAAACGAGGAGGGGAAAGTTGTTTTATTGATTTATTTATTTTATTTTGTCAAGCAATTATAACAGGTATAAGTATAAACAGAGTTATGAATACATGAAATGGATACATATAAGAAAAATAAAAGAAATAATAGGACAGGGACGGTAGGCACGCTGGTGTGCTTATGCAAACCCCCTGCAGACCTCTTAGGAAAGGGGTGAGGTCAATAGGAGACAGTCTAAGGTTAAAGTTTTTGGGGCTTGGGGAAGAAACCACAGAGTCAGGTAGAGTATTCCAGACATTGACCACTCTGTTGCTGAAGTCGTATTTCCTGCAATCAAGTTTGGTGAGATTAACCTTGAGTTTGTATCTATTGTGTGCTCTTGTGTTGTTATGGTTGAAGCTGAAGTATTCATTGACAGGTACGACATTGCAATATATAATTTTATGGACTATACTTAGATCGGACCGAAGGCGGTGTACTTCTAGGAAAATTTTCTAGGTCTAGAATTTCAAGTCTAGTGGCATAAGGTATGAATAGAGGAGTGGAGAACTCTTCTTGTGAAATATTTCTGGACTTTCTCAACTGTATTAATATCAGATACGCAATGCGGGTTCCGGACTGATGAGCTGTATTCAAGTATTGGTCTAGCAAATGTTTTGTATGCTGTAGTTAGTAGTGTGATATTACCAGAGAAAAAGCTACACAAGATTAGGTTAACAACACTTAATGCCTTTTCGGCTATGTAGTTACAGTGGGCTCTAGCACTTAGATCATTAGAGATGTGTATTCCAAGGTCTTTGACAGAGTTTGGATCATCAACAAGGTCTTGACTATTCAGCCTGTATTTTATTTTCTGATTTATTTATTTATTTTGCCAATATGTAAGACAGAGCATTTATTGGTTGAGATTTGAAGTTGCCATTTGTTTGACCATTCTGATACATAGTCGAGGTCTTTTTGAAGCGTAGCTGTATTGTCTGTGGTGTTGAATAGCTTTACATCATCGGTGAAGAGAACACAGTTGCTCTTTATATGATCACAGAGGTCATTTATGTAGAGTATGAAGAGAGTCCTCGAACACTGCCTTGGGCGGCACCCCTGTTGACAGGTACATAATTTGATAGGATGCTCCCAATTTTGACCATTTGTTGCCTGTTTGACAGGAAGGCCTCTATCCAGTTATGTAGGTGTCCAGTTATGAGTTGTCCAGTGATGAATTGTGCCAGTTGAAGCATTTGGTGAAGGGGGAGATCTCCCCACAGGAGCCCTGACAGCCCCTCCCATCCCCTCCCCTCCCCCAGCCCAGCCCCCTCCTTCCCCGGGGGTCTCCTTCCCACCTTCAGTTCTGGGGACCCGAGCCAGCGCCCCCACCAGCAGCATCAGGGGGAGCCCAGCAGAGCCCATGGATGCCGCCCCACAAACGCCCCCAAAGAGAGGGGAGGAAGACACGGAGGCACCCAGCCTCAGAGGCGGAATCGGGGCTCTGAATTGAGGTGAGGACCTCCTTGAAAGACGCATCAGGAACATCCGGAGGTCAATTCAAACAGCCCAGAGAAGTTCCTGGCTTTTAGCATTGGAGTGAATCACGTCAAACAAACATGATCACTCCCTGCTTTTGCCCACACATTCGCTAATGGAATGTGCTGGTCGCTAACTCTTTCTTACTTTTATCAGCTTTCTAATTAGCCAGGATTGGCACGAGATGTACACATGCGTATTTCCTGTGGATAAGAATTCTTTGGTCTTGCCAGGCAGACTCCGCAATGACAGGCTTCCTGATTTACTTTCAAGTGTGTGTGTATGACCTGGCTTTATTCTAGCAGGCAGCCCATCACAAGTGCAGCTGACCCTCTTGTATCTGGTTCTATTCAGAGAACAGATCATCAGAGTGGGAAGGGACCTTGTAGGTCATCTAGTCCAAGCCCCTGCCCAAGATGGAGACCCCACACCATTTCTGACAGATGGCAGTTCAATCTCTTCTTGAAAGCCTCAAGGGATGAAGCTCCCACAACTTCCGAGGGCAACTTCTGTTCCATGGGTTGATTGTTCTCACCGCCAGAAAATTCTTCCTTATTCCCAGGTTGAATCTCTCCTTGGATCAGTTTCCATCCATTATTCCTTGTCTGACATTTGGGTGCCTTGGAAAATAGCTCATTAAAAGGTTTTGATGTTACCTCTATTTCGTGTTTGTTTCCTTGGAACAAGGTTTGGGTCGGAAGAGTAGGTATGGAGAGCATAGCCGAAAACTCCCATTGGGGCTTAAGAGTCAAACAGAAATGACCCATTTTGCATTGTGTGCCTGTTTGCAATTACATTCATCACTTGAGGATTCATTGGAGTGAATCACGTCAAACAAACATGATCGCTCCCTGCTTTTGCCCACACATTCGCTAATGGAATGTGCTGGTCGCTAAGTATACATGAGGTATCTCAGGGTGGGGAAGGCCATGGTGGGCCTAGCAATGGAACAGGCCACCTGCTTCTGACCACCCAAAGCCTCCTCCGACCCAGTCAGATACCTCTTGCTTTCTCCCCCCTCCCCATCCTGCTGCACCAGATCACTTACCTTGTGAAAATGTCGCCAGTTGTCTCTCCTTTCTCTCTGCCGTGGTTTCTTTGCCTGCTTGCAGTCTCGGCATGAAAAGGGTTTGAAAGCCGATGAGACTTGGGGGCGGTGAAATCACATTGCTTCAAGCCTGCCATTGGCTTTCAAATGCTTTTTGTGCTGAGACTGGAAGCCTCTGGGGGCCGTGATCTGGCACTACAGTACTTTAGGCCTCTGCGAACCGAGGCCTGCACGATATCCACAGCAAAAGGCTTTGCAAATGGAGAGGCCTTCCCTTCATTTGCAAAGCCTTTTGCCATAGATCTCGTGCAGGCCTCAGTTTGCAGAGAACAGAGGCCTAGCATACTGTAGTGCCAGATCAGGCGAGATGAGATCAGTAGCACACTTGCACTACTGATCTTACATGATCTTGCACAATTTTAGACATTCTGTAGAGCCTCCACCCCAGAAAGGGGAAGGGTGAGAAGAAACATCTGGAGTGGAGCTGAAAGACTAAGGAGATGGGAAGTACCCAGCAAGAGCCTGATTTCCAACAAGAAAGAGCCAGTGTGAAAAGTTTTCAAGGAGACCCTGCATTCTGACCCGCCTATATTCTACTCATTCCATGTCCCACTCCTCCAGGAAATCAGGACAATGTTCCCCCTTCTCTTCTGCCTGGTGAGTGCATCGTTGTGTGGAATCAATTAGGCTGGGTGGACCAATCTCCCCAGTTTCCCTGACACCCCGCCCCAAAAATGGACAGCCTCTTTTGTAAGAAAGGAAGAGATTTAATGAGAAGATCATTGATTGAAACAGAAATGGCTTCCCTCAAGAGTCCACATTGACCACTGGAGCATTATAGACACAGCCTTGTAAAAAAGACGTGGCAGCTGTTCAAAGATCAATTCAGCCCCAGAAAACAGGAAGGGGTGAGAAAGAACCTCAAGGCTGCCCTCTCTTGATGTTCTTTGGTGCCAGAGGGAGCAAAGGAGAGACGTTTTCAAGATTCCATTGCTATCCTCTAGACTAAATGGATTCAAGCTCTTCATATATTTCTTTTGTTGGTGATATCCTGGCCTGGTCTATCTCGAAAGACTGACTGATGGGGAAGCTTCAAAGAATGTGAAGCTTTCCAAAGGGACATGGGTCCAGGCTGGTAGAGAATTCGTCTGTGGAGTCAGTTGATACTGGAAGGCAGGATCTTCCCGTGCCTTTGGAGAACGTCCTGTCATTGGAAGATCCTGGGAGACCGAATTGGCTCAAGGAGACTCAGCCAACAATCTCTGACTCAGGTTTTTGGAGACCACCAAAATACAGAAGGGTGAAAAGCAGGGCTGTGGAGTGCCAAAGGGGCCATCTTGGAGCGTCTCTATTTGAAAGGGGAGAACCAGGAATTGGCTTGGTTTTTTTTTGACGTTCTCTAGGTCTATCTTCAGCATGTCTTCGGTGTAACAAGGAGCCTCCCCGTTCCTTTCCACCAAGTCATCTGTCATCTTCAGCAGTTGGGCCACCAGAGCCTCTTGTTCTTCTCCTTCCGCCTTGTTGTTAAAAACCAGGAAGCGGTTCCCACATAGGTCCAGCCGGTCCTTAAGTGAGGAGCCTCCCTGGGATATGAATTGCTCGAAAGTCTGACCTTCCTGATCATTGTTGTGGGTGAACAAGAGGATCATGTAATTCTTGCCTTTAAGGCTGAAAATCTCTTGGATCAGCTGAGCCATGTCTTTCTCCTCCTGGGCAAAATGACCTTGATGAATGACCCACAGAATAACGTGGGGTCCTGGGGAGCAAAGGTTCACAGACTTGGTAATTTCAGTGATCGTATACTGCCATAAAAACATTAAATACCAGCTTCCGGAAAAGCCAGGCATATCAACAACCACAACTTTTCTGCCGTTCAGCCGCTTCTCTGCCATTTGGCAAGTTTTACTGAGGGAACCCAACGTCATCTTGGATATGAAGACGTTGCTTCCTAGAATGGTGTTTCCCATCACACTTTTCTCATTTCCACTTAGGCCAACAAGGACGAGCCTCCGTTCGGGCCCTACAACACAAAGGGGAGAGGAGAGAAGAAGGGGGACATGGTCAGCAGCATCTGGCCATCATCACCTGCTCCTCCTCCAGGACCTAAGACTTTACCTTGGACACCTTCCACCATATCCCAGCAAGGCACACAGGACAAATCTGGAGATTTCTGCAAGAAGAGAAAAACAGAATCAGCCAAAGGAGAGAAGTGGCTTTGCGGAATTGATTGAAGAATGATTATAAAGTGTTTACATCAGGGGTGTCAAACTCGATTTCATCAAGGTCTGCATTCAGTGGTGAAATCCTACTGGTTCGGCACAGTTCGGCCGAACTGGGAAAGAAAAAGTGAGACCGGTTCAGCCTAACTGGTAGTAAAATAAAAGGTCCGATGATCAGCTGACGGGGGGAAGAGAAAAGCGCAGGATCAGCCCTCCCACCCACCTGCCCCTGCACTTTTCTCTTCTTTATCCTTTCAGCTGACCGGCGCGGCAGAGCCTCCGCTGGGGTTTGGAAAGCTGTGCGAAGTGTGCGATCACTGAACCGGTAGGGAAACTGGTAGAATCCCACCAGTGGCTGCATGAGGGTTGTGTTTGACCTCGGGAGCCCAGGGTGGGTGTGGCCAGGGTGGGCATGGCCAGCTTGACATCACTTGTGTCATGGGGGGGGGCATCTGTGGTGGTCTGAGTGCTGTGCCAGCAAAAACAGGCTTCGGTGCTCCGTTTCCAGCTGCAACAGCCTGCCGGAGACCGTCACAGCCCAAAACCGTGTCTGGGAGGGCAGCACATGGTCCTCCGGAGCTCCGTTTGTACTGGCAGAGGTGCCACAGGCTGGTCCTTCACTGTTTCCAGGGCGGCCCCCCGTGGGTTAGATCTAATCACCCCACAAGCCAGATCAGCCCCCCTGCCCCTGGCCTTGAGTTGACATTACACCCCTGGTTTACATTAAGGTCATGATTGGAGATTTGGGCAGCGCTACTTTTGAAGGAATGAAAACATCTAAAGACAGGCAGGTTGTCCTTGACTTGCAACCGTTCCTTTAGTGACCATTCAAAGTGAGAACGGCCCTGAACAAAGAGACTTATGGGAGAAGGCGGAGCTTCGCCGCGACAATACAGCTGCAATCTCAGGGCTCCGGGATCGCAGCTGATATTTTCACCCCTGGTCGGTCCCAACGGACCTAAGCCGTCCCGTAGAGACGGTGATTGTGAAGGGCACACTCTGTGGACCCCAGGGACATCGCAAAGCCCCTGGTTGATCCAGGAGAAGTCCTTTTGCTGGTGGCGGAGAGGCAGCCTCTATAGCTGCTGAAGTCGGGACAGCTCCGGAAAGGAAGAGGTCAAAGTGAAAGTGTGTCGGCTGGGTGAGAAATCCTTTTTTTTTTTTGCTAACTTGCTGAGATTTGAAAGGACACTCTGAATATGAGAAGAAATCTGTGAGATTTTTTGACAAAACTGTATGAGCGACGTTTTTTAAAGGGATGTCAAATTGAGGCTTGGATTTTTTTTTCTCTCACTTTTTTTTTACTGGACTTTAGCGTGACTTTGCAGTTAACCGGACTGAATTTTCTCTTATATATATATATTTACTTTTTATGCTCCTTTTTGATTTTTTAATTTCCTTTTAGGCAAGAGGCTCCCTTTGGTTACTTTCTCTCTCTCTCTCTATATCTATCTATCTATCTATCTATCTATCTATCTATCTATCTATCTATCTATCTATCTATCTATCTATCTATCTATCTATCTATATACACACACACACACACACACACACATGTGAATATTTTCTTTTCTTTTTTTCAACTTAAACTATTTTTTTTGGTAGGAGGGGGGGAAGTGTATTAAGAAATTTTGTAACACTGCCAACTAGAGGCTTGAAATATTTTATTTGAATTGGAGAGAACTGTGAAAAGACTCCTTCTCAAGGACATTTTAATTTGATAAGATAGAGGGAAGAGCGCAGCAGAATATTATTACAGGTGCTTTTCTGGACTCTTATCAACATCTTAACACTTGAGGCTTGGCTTTGAAGCTTGTGGAGAAGAGACTCATAATAAGAGCCTTAGACAATTAAACAAAGTGCAGTGTGTTTTTCTTATCTCTTTTTAGTTGTGTTACCCCTCCTTACCAGCTTTTCTGTAAATCTTAATTTTAGTAATATTCTTATTTTTGCTTTTTATCTTAAAGGGAAAGCTTCAGAATTTTTTCTTTATTTTTCTTTTCTTCTCCTTCTTCTTACTGGGATTTTTTTTTTTTTTTGCTTTTTCCATTTATATTTTTGGACCACTCTGCCTTTTCTTTTTTATTATTGAGACTTCCCAATTGGATTAAGGTGCGAAGAACCTGAAGGAATTTTTTCTTTTTTTCCTTATTTTTTTTCCTTTTTTTCTTCCTAATTATTATTATTATTATTGGGCTTTTTTTTCTTTTTCTTTTTCATTTTTTATCCTGGACTATTTCATAATTGGATTAGGGTCTAGAAGAACCTGAAGATTTTTCTTCTTCTTTTTCTCCTTTTTTCTTTTTGTCATTGGGCTTTTCATTATTGGATTTTTCCATTTTGGATTATAATTGGCTATTCTACCAGTTGGATTAAAAGCTAAAAAGAATTTGAAGGTTTTGAAGCATCAAAATGAGCAGGAAACCCATATTTTCTGGCGTTTCTACTTCTACCTCTGCCTCCCCACCAGCTGGAGGACAACGTTTAATTCAGACAATGTTGAAGCAAGATAAAGAACAAGAAAAAGTGACTTTACAGACGATTATGCAAGGAATCCAAGATCTCAAGATAAAAATAGACACTATTGAACAAAGAACAGAGAAGACTGATGAAAAAGTGGAAAATATTCAACAAATGATGGTGAAGTATGATGAGAGATTCCAAAAAATTGAGGAAGAAGGTAAACAAAGAGAGGAGAAGATTGGAAATATTGACAGCAGATTAACAGTGGTTGAACAAGATAAAAGTGGGATGTTGAGGTGGGAGATGGAGAGGTCAGAATTCTATCTCAGATTTCAAAATATAGAAGAAGAAAAAGGACAAAACTTGGCTGCGATAATGATAGAAATTTTGGCGGATGCTTTGGAAATTACAGAGGAAAAGATGATGGATGGAGTAGATGAGGTATACCAAGTTTTTACAAGATATGCGATGAGAAATAAATTACCAAGGGAAGTCCATATCAGATTTACAAAAAAATCCATCAAAACACAAATATTACAAGCTGTAAGAGAGAAGACATTGAAATACAAAGGCAAAGAGATTGTGGTTTTAAAACAAATACCCAGAAGAGTGAGAGAGATGAGAAGAGAATATCGATTCCTGACCAAAATGCTATTGAAAAAGGAAGTGAATTATAGATGGCTGATTCCAGAAGGATTAATGTTTATGTGGCAAGAGCAGAGACATAGAATTGATTCAATTGGGAAAGCAGAACTTTTCTACGCAGAATTTTTTGGAAGGAGAGAAGAAGAGGCAGAGAAAGTGGTCTCATTAATTGAGTTTCAAGAGGAACAACTGGAGACTGAAGAAGAGGAAGGTGCAGTAGGTGGACAGGCGGATAGTAAAGAACAGCGTGAAGTGAGATCCACGAGAGCTGTTAGACCTAAATATAAAGCATAATCATGGAAGAAAAAAAATTGATTACAATGAATATAAATTGACTTAATTCAGCTGTTAAAAGAAGGAAAACTTTTCATAAATTAGAGAAATTAAAATTTGATATAATTTGTCTACAAGAAGTACATATCAAAAAACAATATGAACAATTGTTAGTACAGCCAAAATTAGGGAAAATATTTACTTCTTTGACTCAATGTAAGAAAAGAGGAGTGGTTCTATACATTAAAGAGGTCATCCCAGCAAAATTGATTTATACGGATGAAGACAGAAGAGCATTAATGGTGGAAATAATGGACAACAATATAAAAATACTCTTGATTGCAATATATGCTCCGAATGATAAACAAGAAGAATTCTATAAAAAATTACACATGAAAATAACTGGACTGGACTATGTTAATATAATTATGATGGGAGACTTTAATGGAATTGTGGACAATAAACTGGACTATATAGCAACAACAACAAAGCAAAATAGAAAGACCCTCCCTAAATCCTTTTTTAAAATGACAGACGAATTAACCTTAAAAGACATTTGGAGAGAAAGAAATGTTAAAGCTAAACAATATACTTACTATTCAAATAGATATTTATCATGGTCCAGACTGGATATGATTTGGATCTCAACAGAATTAATATCTAATATTCAAGAAACAAATATTGAAACAAGTACTTGGGCAGATCATAGCCCAATGACAATTAAATGGAAGGGACAAAAAAAAAGATCGAGATGGACGTTAAACAATACTATTTTAAAGGAAAAAGATTTTACACAATGGATGGAGAAAGAATTGGTTTTTTTCTTTAGGGAAAATAAAAAAGAAGATACTTCATTGCAGAATGTTTGGGATACAATGAAGGCATATGTTAGAGGTTTGATAATAGATTATATAAGAAGAAAGAACGTTAGGAAAAGGCAAGCCACTAAGATCTTGGAAGATGAATATAAAAGACTTGAAAAAGAATTACAGAAAATGCCACAGAAAAAGGAAATTAAATTGAAGTTGGATATAACTAAACATAAAATGGAATTAATAGAGAAAGAAGAATTGGCGCAGAAAATTAGAAATGCTAAACAGAATTATTTTGAAGACGCAAACAAACCAGGTAGATGGCTAGCATATAAATTGAGAAAAGAGAAAGAATCAAGAAAAATATTGAAGTTAATAGATGATCAAGGCCAAGTTTGTTATGGTAACAAGGAGAAAAAGGAAATTGTTCGAGATTTTTATGGGCAACTATATAAACAAGAGAATATTGATGAAGAAAAAGTTAAACAGTATTTACAGAATGCTAACCTACCGAAGATGCCTAAAGAGATTGAAGAAATGCTAGAAAGCAACATAACAATGATGGAATTAACTGAAGCACTTAAGAAACAAAGTAATGGGAAA